TAAAGGTAAAAAGCTCTTTTTTATTAAAAAAAAAAATAGAAACCATTTATCACCGTACGTCAATATATATATATATATTTATCGTGGATAATGTACGTGGAATATTGGTGAAATTGGTGTAAATTTGTTGGGAGTGCACGTGCGAATGTCAGAAGCGCGCGTACATAGCCAAAAACTGGGACTTTAAGAACTATTGAGAGGTGATGACGATGATGAGATGATTTGACGTTCCTTTTCTCTTCAAATACTCTAACGTTTTCGTGCCTTGTTCTCCCAGCATTCAACTCTGTTCGCTCTCTATACGAAATAATAATAATATATAATAATAATAAGTAATTTATAAACAAAATTCTCTTTCCATTAAAATCTTCTATCGGCCGAAAGGCAGAAACCAAACAAAACAACATGACAACTTAATTATATTTTCTCTTTATATAATAATAAAATAAAATATGTACATAATAAACAAACAAGGATGAAGAGGGATAAAGAAAGTTCTGATTTTGTTCCATTCTTGTTGGCAAAAATCCCTCGATCGTCCATTCCGTGCAACTGCCTTCAGAACGATTCCAAGGTTCGTTTTTTCCCCTCTTCTCATCATTTATTTCTTGTTTGCCTTATGCCAGCATCTTTCTTTTCAAGCCAAGTATGGCTTGCTCTACTTTTCGGAAGTCCGTTGTGAATTTTCCTATTCCTGTCTGGTTCTAGGGATTGGTTAGAAGTTTCCCTGGCGGCAAATTTTAGGCCAATTCAGTTGTGAATTATGGAATTTAGTTTGTGGCTGTTTTATGAATTTCTTGCAACAAGTAGGGTTTTTGTGCTTTTCTTTTGTAATTTTATTGCTATTTCTGCAGGATTTGGTGGATAGTTGTTTTGATGATGAATTGAGTAGAATTGGAAAGATAATCTGGTGTTGTTGGTTTGATGATCATATATGCAGACTAATTACCTAGTGGTTTTAGATATAGTATTATAATTCTAGTTGTAAGATTCAATTCAGAGACTTTCTTAATTGAAATATTTTGGCACAAACAATAAATTATAGAAAAAGGAAACCACAAAGAAGGAATCTGTCCAATTTGAATTGGATGGGCACATAACTGGGTAAGGGAGGAGACAAGTCGTGGATGAAGAGGTATACAAGGCCAACAAGGGCCTCTAATGTTCCACTAAAAGAATTTGACCATAAAGAAGCTGAGAAAGCTCATTCTTGAATCAAGCTTGCAACACGTGTTATCTCTGGGGGATAGGAGTGCTTGCCATGATCAAGAAGAAGTCCACATTTTGCTTTTTGGTCTGTATTACTCTGAATCAATGTCCTCTCAATTCTTTTTAATTTAGAATTTTTTGAAATTTCCCTATGGCCTTGGCTGTGTATGGTTGCATGGAAAATAAGGAAAAAGGAAAAATTGATTATTTGAAAAATTAAAGTGCCTTTGATTTACTTTTTTTCTGCTTGTCATTGGCTTTTTTCTCTTTCTTTTCTTTAACAATCTTTATATTCGGTCAAATTTTTACTATTTTTTTCGGAAAGCAGAGGCAGTAACTAACTAGATATATCAGTTTTTGTTCTCTTTTTTCAATGATTTTTCTTTTGATTTACGATAGAAGAAGAAGCTTGTTTGAGATTCATTATCGACAGTATATTGCAACTGGGATTTTGTGTATTTGGTGGTATGTGTGACCAATGGAGGCCTTTTTGTTTTGTTTTATCTCAGTATTACCCAGTCTCATCGTTCAAAGATATGTTGCATGAAAAGGTAGATTTGTACAGTAAAATATTCACTGAAATTGCAAATATGATGTTGTTGTTCGTGTTCTATATGCGATTTGATGTTTCTTTTGCACCAGAGTGTTTTCTGCAGATGAAAAACCCTAATTCAACCCGTCCTACTCGTATGCCTTCAATGTGAGATTTTGGAACAATTAGTTGCATAATTTTTCCAGATTTGACAATAGTTTTATTTGCTTTTTGGGATCCATATTTTCCATGCTTGTGAATTCTTTAACAAGATCAAGATGTCCTTTTTCCAAAAACTCTTCAAATATATGCTGTGGAGTATCGAGGTGGTGAAAACAAAGGAGGAAGAAGGGCAATGGAGGGCAAATGTTAAGATTTGTTTAAGCTTAGCGAGCTTGTACTTTTGTATCGGGGAATCCCTTATGTTTTCAAGCTGGGATTGTGTTGCTATAATGCTATCTTGATATTCTGCAGGAAGAACAACGTGTGATAGAAAGCAAAAATTAGGATGCGGCAAGCAGGAACTTCAGGATGAGAAGAGAAATGCAGAAAAGTACTAGAAGTAGTTTTCAAAGCACTCGAACATCGTACCGGGGAAATTGAATGTGGCTCTGCAACGGTATCTCTTCTTTGGAATTCTGATTCAGCTTTATTTATGCTATTTTTGCAACATTGGCTCACCAATTCTTTTTTTTTCTCTACCCCCTCCAATTTCCAGTCAATCTTTTAGGTCTCCTGGTGGAAATTGAAGAAGTCCCTTTCTTCTCAATTCTCATCAGACACCCTTCGCAATCATCAGAACAAACCAGGTAACCTTGTTTTGTTGTTCTGTTACTTTTTTCTATTCATTTTTAAGGTAACAGCAGGATTTTGAATCATGTGATGTGTGAAGTGTTTTATTAATGTGGACTGCACAAACAAATGCAACAACGCAACACTCGCGCTTACACACACAGAAGATATATAATATATATATATATATATATATATATATAATATAATATATATAGGAAAAAATCAATTGGAAGATGGATGGTTTGCCATTTGGAGAACTTCTTGAAAGTCTTGAATTCCTCAATTTGTCTTGGTAATCTTGGAGGTGCTTTCTAATTGCACTAACTGGCGAATTATTTTACTAGTAATCTTCTAAATTAAAGTAGGATTGGTTTCCTTGTTTTAGGGGAATCAATGATAGTCATATTAGGTAATTTGTCATAGTTAGAAGGACAAAATTTCAGGAGCAACAATATAATTTGATTTGTATCGTTGGTGCAGTCCCTGATTAATTTAATTTTCATTTAGAAAATGATGTTGTAGATAGGAAGCTATCTTGTTTACTTTCCAATAAAGAATTTGAACTATTTATATTAACCAACAGATATTTCTTTTTGTTTTCCTATGCTAACTGTATTATATAGGTTAATGGAGAAATGTTTAATAAATATTCATCTCAAAAAATAAATCTTTGATCTGTGCTTTCCATTTGATTCATGTTAGATTCTTCAATTTTTTTTGTGCTACATTAATACAAACTAGTGACAATTTATTGGTTAATGATTGAGTTTTTGGAAATAGCAGTAGTAGGGTTTTGTGACTTTTTGGAGTTTAATAATATGTGAAAAGCTTGCATGCTGGGTCCCCTTTAGCAATGTCAACTTCGACATTGACAGGAACTCTCACACTGCAAACAAGTAGCTCACAACTAAACCATACAATTTTCCTAGATTTTCTTTTACTAAATAGTTTTTCAAAAAAGAAATCCTTTGATGTTGCTAGTTGCTTGGTGGCATACTTTCAACTTGAATACATAAAAGAAGCGCCATTTATGTTTAAAATGCCATGGAAAAATGTTTTAATTGTTGCAACCGCAACCAAAATGGTGCCAGAGTTGACCTTCAATGAAAGTAGGTACTTTAAAGTTAATTTGGTAATATTGTCTACAAATTTTCATTGCGGGGACTCAATTTTTGGGGTGAGATCATTAATTTAGCCATGGGCCCCCCCCCCTCATATTGGATAGCGGTAGTTCCTTAGCTTGTGCATTGCATGTGAAATTTCTAATTTGCTTTTCAAACTTATGAATATTTCGGTAAAAATTGGATATGGTTCTCTTTTACACGAATTGTTATATTGATATGGGTTCTCTTTTACACATTGTAATTGGGATATATGTACTCTTTCACACTATATTGTAAAAAGATAATGTAAATAGCATGCTTATAAGGTTTATTAACATTTCAATTCCCCTATATTTATATTATAAAAATCAGCATAAAATTAGATTAATCCTCGACTCCAAGGTTGTCTTCTTGTAGTTGATCTTTTCACCTTTGGTTTTCTGTTCACTTCTAAAACAATTCATAGTAAACTAACATGTATTGATAGTTCTAATTGGCATATAACACAAACTCTTTCCCCTCCATTCAAAAGATACTCTTTTTTGTCTATAGTGGAAACAATAAATCTTTCTTTTTTTTTCCACATTTTTTATGATATGTCCCCAAATAATAGTGGCTTCCTTTTTTTGGAAAGATAAACTAATATATTTTACTACATATATATGTGGTGGTGCGTATAATAATATATACAGATACTCTCCATGGCAGATACTTCTACCATTAGACCACAAGGCTTTTATAATAAATTAAAAGTTTTTGTGATTACTTAATCATTTATTTTATGAATAATATAGATGTTCACCAGTGTGCATTGCAGACGATAATTCATTGTTCTTGATGCATGAATATATATTAAATCAGATGGGAAACATATTTCAAGTATGTATAATTATATACTTGGTGGTATAATTATTTTTGCTTCCATTATATACGCGCCGAGTTAAAGTTTATTTTAACTGATTCCTTCCATGTCAAATTGTTATGAAACACCGAATGGTCCATATTTTATATATTATTATTCTAATTCACTGTTAATATAAAAATAAGTTCAGTTCAATAAATATTTAACTTTTAGGTTTTCTTGTAGAAACATATTGTTCGCAAGTATATTCGTCTAGTTGTTATATATATTTTCTTGAAATATGCCCTATATTTAATGTGTACTAATTCCATTCAGTGTCCAAGGTTTATTTTGATATTAAGGACATGTTGCTGTTTTCACACGTGTTTAAGTGGCATGACACATAAAATGTTTTTAATTCTGCTTGCTGTTAGGCTTAATTAATTATTAATGAATTGGGCGATCTTGTTACCTTCATGTCTAAGTATGACACAATCAAATGCTGATGAAATCGTAGGATATGAAATTTGAACCTGGATCTGTGAGGACCTCATGGGTCATGAGGCTATTTGGCTTTCTATTCAGGTATACTTCAGTAATTGATACTTCATTGTGCACAATTGAGTCTGGCTACAAATTTTTGGGGCTTTGGATCTTAAAACACCAATCAAATTTGTGACTCTTGCGTGCACAATAGCAAAAAAAAATAAAAATATAAGTTTAGTCACGTAGTGTCATCTTTTTCCTTGATTCCAGTATTGGTAGTTTTTGAGTGAAAAACTTGACAAATAATAACTCAATTGCCCATTTGTAAAGTAAGATTTATAACATTATTCATACAGGAGTATATTAACATATCATGACACTCCTTCAATTCTATTATTCTAACTGCTTCTAGTACCTACTTGCCAAACTCTTCCATTATATTAATTGTATGTTAGTGCACCAGCCTGAGTTCCTTTGGCTTGTGATTCTAGGTCTGAAATACATTACTCTCGATTGACAATCACATTGTATCACTTGACTACCTCGTATTCTTTAATGGCATTAGTGTTAAAACTTTTATTTGAAATAACTAGAAGCTTTTTCATTCATTCACTTTATTTCATGAGTGGCTAGTACTTTGTCATCTTTTTTGGGATGATTTCAATGAAGGCTTAGTGAATTTGTAGTTAAGGATATTTTGAAGCTACAATGTCCAAACTTTAGCACTTTTAGAATACTTTTGGTGGACCAACTATTCAGAGAACTTATTTGAAACAAATCCCCCAACATTAGTTGTAGATTGTGCTTTTAAAGAAATCTTTGCAGTGGACATTAAAAATAGAAGAAGAATTAACTTCCTTTTTGTTAGCAAGGTTTGCTTTAGACAGTTGATATAAGACATGTTCAAATAACGACAGTATATAAATAAGTAATACACCATTACTTTACACTCTTTTTTGGTCATTACCTACATGACGCCATATGGAGCACGACCTTCTAAAATACTTTTTCCACTTTTGGAAACCTTGCATTATAATCCCCGGATTCTTTTAAAGCTTAGGTTAACATGTATTCAACCTTTACACTCCATTTTGGGGTTTTCCCTCATTTTGGATTCCCTTTGAAATCTCGTCACTTAAAATTAGTGCTTGATTTTACTTAGTAACAGGAAAAAAAATCAAAGAAGTTGGTAACTTCTAATCTCTCTGTTTTTGTTTCTGACTTGCATTATAATATTCCAATGATGTTTTAGCTATATTATTGAGGGGTGGATGGGCTTACCATTACATACCATATGATGGATTTTAAGATATTCTGAAGGGTTACTATGTTTATGAAAAAAGAATAAAGCAATTTGGCTAGTAGAACAATTTGTTTCCTATGATGTTTATCGCATATTATTGGAGGGTGGGTGGATTACCAGTCCTTTTTACATATCTTTTTATGGATATTTGAAGATATTTATGAGTAAGGTTACCTGTGTTATGTAGAAAAATTAGAAGGCCATTTGCTAGTGGACCAAAGTAAAGTTATCGGCAATAGCCTAGTGGTTGGCGCGTTTGCCTCATACTGCAAAGGATGTAAAAGGTTCAGACCAGGATTGTTGTTACGTTTCATTCCAGCCAGAATGTTGAAAATTTCTTTCCGATCAGGAAAATGGAACGAAAGGATGCTTTTATCATGCCGCAGCCAAATCTCAGCCATTCCAATCCCAAATACTTGAAAAGGTCTGAAAATTCTGTTCGCCAAATTCCAATCTTACCAGTGCAGCAGTGGCTTGTATTTCATTAGTCCCTGCTCTTTTGGCTCGTCTCTGTAATGTGACTATCTTCATTGGTCCCTCGGTTGAAAAGAATATTTCGAATTTCTTTTTATTGTGTGTATATTTTCAATCTTAACAATCAATACTATATTATATACACAAGTGTTCAATATAGGAGAGATTAATATAGGAATAAACCTAAATTAGGGAAAGACAATAACCTAAACAGGAAAGACTATGTGATTTTAATTACAAAGATTCAACACTCGCCCCTCAGTTGGTGCATAGAGATAATTACTCATGCCAACTGCAAACCACAAGGAATGAACAGTTTGCCTTATTCAAACCCTGTCGTGAAAACATTCGGCTAGTTGCTCTTTTGAAGCTATATTAGGAGACATTATAAGGCCTTCAACTATCTTCTTCTTTATAAGTGACGATCAATTCTCTATGTGCTTAGTTCGATCAATGCTGGACTGGATTATTCAAATAACTGATGGCTGCTTTACTATCACAAAACAAGGAATTTTATTGGTTGTTTCAACCAACTTTAACTCTTCCATTAATCTGCGCAAATCCATAGGAGTTCACATATTCCTTATGCCAAGCTCTATATCTGCTTCTGCACTGGACCTTGCAACAACAGCCTGCCTCTTGCTTCTCCATGTGACAAGGTTTTCCTCCAACAAAAACACAATATCCTGAGGTTGGATCTCCTATCATCAAGAAATCCAGCCCAATCCGCACCTGTATAGCCTGTTATTTGTCCAAATGACCATGTTTAGGAAATAATAAGTCCTTCTAACCAGGAGCTGATTTAAAATATCTTAGAATCCGATGCACAGCTTCTAAGTGAGACCTCTCCGAGGGTCTGCATATACTGACTGCACTAAACTTATAGCATTGGCAATATCTGGTCTAGTATTGGCAAGGTAAATCACCTCCCGACCGATCTCTGATATCCTGCCAAACAACTTGAACTTCCCACTCCAGCTTGAAGCTTATGATTGCTTCAATAGGTGATTTGCGGGTTTACATCCCACATACCAGTTTCTTAAGGAGATCAAGGATTAACTTTCTTTGAGAAATAAAAACATCCCTTTTTCTGATCTAAGCAACTTCTATCGCAAGGAAATACCTCAACTTTCCCCAAATCCTTAATCTCAAATTCCCTAGCTAACAAATTTTCTCAAGTGAGTCATTCTTCTTCATTATTTCATTTCAGTTATCACTAAATCATCAAACATAACACAATAAGCAAGGTGATTCATACCTTTAATATGTTTGATGAACAAAGTATGATCCAGCATCGCTTTGCATGTACCCCAAAAGAAAGCATAGCTAACTACCTTTCAAACCATGCCCTTGGTGATGTGCTTCAAGCCCATATAATGACTTTCTTCAGCTGCAAACTTTTCAGTCTGGTCTTGTCATCAATCAAAATCTCAGAGGATATCTCCATATACTCTTCTTTCAAATCACCATGTAGAAAAGGCTTTTTTTAACATCAAAACTGATGAATTCCCAGTCAAGATTGCTGCACAAGACAACAAATTCTAATTGTATTCATTTTGCTTACAGGGGCAAAGTTTTCCTGGTAATCAACTCCAATAGGTCCTGACTGAACCCTCTAGCTACCAATCCTGGCCCTTCGTACTCTAATGGAACCATCTGCCTGATGTAATCTGATGAACACCCCATTTACATCCCAACTGGCTTCTTTCCTGATGGAGAGTTACAAAGATTCCCATGTCTCGTTTTTTTGCCAAAGCCTCAATCTCCTCAACCATTTGCAGCCCTTCATTTTGAGTCCTGTAATGCCTCTTGCCAATCCTGCGGTATAGAAACAGAAGAATACAGACGGCTCTATAGGAAGGGGACAGAGCATTGTATGAGATGAAATGGGAGATAGGATGTTTAGTGCATGTTCTAACTCTTCTAAGAGCAATAGGAATATCAAGGTCATTATCAGAAGGACTGGACTCAAGATTAGGATCAGAATCATCAGGAATTAAAGAAGACTCACCAAGTTCTTGCTCTTCTGTATCTTAAGGGACCGAAATTGGAGAGGACGGTTGATCAGAGGTTTCATGCTCCATGGTTGTATCTGTATTAGTCCGCCGTGTGTAGGTTTTCAAATCAGGTCTATCCAATCTTCCAAGAGATTTGGGTGGTTGCTCTCTCTTACTATCTATGTCTACAGGAATCTCCTAAGGTGTCACACTATGTCTACAGGAAACTCCCCCTGGAAAGGAACGTCATTCATCACCTCTTCCATCTGAAATTTCTCCCCCTGAAGAGGTGATTGGGAAGGAAAATAAGACTCAAATTCCCGAAAGGTAACATCCATACTCACAAAATATTTTCTAGAAGGAGGATGACCTGTATCTTTTTTGAGTAGCAGAGTAACCAACAAACACACACTTCAAGGCTCTAGGATCTAATTTGCTTAGACCATTCTGATGAACAAAACAAACACAACCAAAACAAAACATTACAACCAAAGACTTTAGGAGGTACAATATAAGAGTTTTTTCCTTGAAGAACCTCTAATGAGTTTTAAAAAATTTAAAGTACGAAGAGGCATACCGATTGATAAGGTAAAAGCAGCAAGTGCAAAAATAGCATCCCCCCCCCAATATGGTTTGGGAAGATTTATAGTGAACATAAGGGACCTAGCTACTTCCAGTAAATGCCTATTTTTCCTTTCTGCTACTCCATTTTGAGCACTAGTATGGACACAACTAGTCTGATGGATAATACCATTAGAATCTAAATAGGTACGAAAATCTGCATTCATGTATTCAGTACCATTATCAGTTCTTAGGACTTTAACATGAGCATCAAACTGAGTACAAATCATTTTATGGAAATTCTGAAAACACGAAAAAACTTCATTTTTTGTTTTCATCAAATAAACCCAAGTCAATCTAGTAGTACAAACAAGTCATAAAGGTCACAAACCACCTATAACCAGAAAAAGAGAGACCAGTTAGTTTTAGTAGGACCCCATACATCAGAATGAATAGTAGCAAAAGGAATCAAGCTTTTATTATTAATTTGAGAATAAGAATGCCTGGTGTGTTTGGCAAGTGCACAAGCATCACATACTAATGAATCGAAATCACACTTAGCAAATAAAGTGGGAAATAAACGTCCTAGAACAGAAAAAGAGGGATGTCCTAATCTCCTATGCCATTGAATAACTTCATGGGAAGGATTTCTAGAAGTTCCTAATAAAGCTTGACCGGTACCCGAATTTGAAAAACGACAAACGTCATCCAACAGATACAGTCCATCGCGCAAGATACAGTCCATCGCGCAAGCTACCACTGCCAATCGTTCTCCCCGTGTTCAGTTCCTGAAATATACAATGAGTAGGGTAAAAGGTTACTTTGCAATAAAGCGCTTTTGTGATTAAGCTAACAGATAACAGATTAATAGGGAATCTAGGGACATGAACAGAGGAGAGTTTAATATTGGAAGTACAGTTAATAGAACCTGCGCCAGCAATGGGTACTAAGGAGCCATTCGCAATGCGAATTTTTTCTGTGCCTTGATACTTAGAATATGTGAGGAAATGTTTTATAGAGCCTGTTGTATGTTTATTTGCTCCTGAATCCCTGAAATCTAATAACACCAAAGAGCGTGTTGCAAATTTTTTGCAAGAAAGGTAAGAAAAGCATTACATGAATTTTAAACAAAAATTAGAAAAGGCTGCAGTCCTGAGTTGAGGAAGAAATGCAAGCTTGTGACAACAATCCGTTTCAGGGACTGGAATTTCCTATTAGAAAAACCACCAGTAGTAGAATGTTCCTCCACATAAAGCTCCACCATCAGATATGTGTGCCTGGTAGTTAGAAGAACTGACCGACCGCCCCGCTTTCCTCCACGCCCTTTAGTTGGGCATCCATGTAATTTCCAGCAGAACTCCTTAGTGTGCCTGTTCTTACCACAATAGTCACAAAATAATTTATCTCTGTCTGAAGAATCGTTCTTGGCAGCCTGTATATGTTCTTTTGCAGAATTAGCAATCAACCTTGCTTTATCAATTGTAGATCTGTGAACCATTGCATTCCTCCGAGTCTCCTTTTGCTGTACAAAAGAATATGCTTGTCGCAAGGATGGAAAAGGATCTCGTCCAAGAACTTGGACTCAAATCTAATCATACTCATTGTTTAGGCCAGCCAGAAAATCATACACACGTTCTACTTCAATCAACTTCTGAACTTGAGTCGCATCATCAGTACATTTGGCTTGAAAGTCTTGGTAATTTGAAAGTCTTTGGTAATAATCCAGTTCTTGCCATAACCCACTAAGTTCAGCAAAATACTGAGCGATAGTCGATCCTCCCTGTTTGGTTTCATAGAACTTTCTGTCGGCAATTCATACCTCTGAGCATAGTTTCCAAAGTTTTTGCGAATACGTCTGTGAAAGCCGACATCCCAATAAATCTTTCTTAGCTGTATCGAAAGAAGCAAATAGCCTCAGGGAAATTAGTTGGCTGCAATGGATTTATTAAAACCAAGACATAATAAGAGAATTCCTCGGATTTCCATTTGTTTAAAGCCTGGATCTTCCCGAACCTGGTTTAGTTGCGCCACCATCAAAAGGTATCCCTGCAAACCTCTTTCTCTTGCTTCAATGAATAATAAGCAAGATCGAGACCAAGCCAGGTAGTTTGTTCCATCTAACTTCACCGGACTAATCTGAAGAGAGGGGCTCTCTGAGTGAAAGCCCATATCTACCTTTTTTCCGTCAGCCATATTGTCAGAAAAAAATTTTTAAGCGGCAGTCGCGAAGAACTGGCAGCGGCAGAAATCAACCAAAAAAAGGAAAAAATTGCAAAAAGCAAAACTGGTGCTGAAGAACCAGTAAAGGAAGAACGCCACAACAAATCGAGGCCGTCGGAACAAAAAACGTCGACGGATCTCGCCGGAAACAGCCGCACGCGCCGGCGCATGAAGAACGGCCGAAAACTTCTGGCGGCGCGTGTGCAAAACTTCTGGCGGCGCGTGGTGCACACGCGCGTGTCGGACGGCGACCGCGGGCTTGGATGGAAGGGCCGATCGGGAGTCCCCTCTTCCTTCTGAGCGGGGACCGGTGACGGCCATCTCCTAACTCCGGCGGGCACTGTGTATAATCTCAGCCCTGTTCAAACCGAAAACCGTCGCCAAAAAAATTCAGCAATGGCTGCTGATACATGTGAAAGATATTTTTTCAAAAAATTTCTTTTTATTGGTGTGTTATATTCTTCAATCCCTCTACATGCACTATATTATATACACAAGATTGTTCCAAATTAGGAAGAGATCTAAATAGGAATAAACCTAAATTAGGAAAAGACAATAAACCTAAACTAGGAAAAGATCAATAATTGATTTTAATTACAAAGATGTTCAAAACAAATATAGGAAGAGATCTAAATAGGAATAAACCTAAATTAGGAAAGACAATAAACCTAAACTAGGAAAGACAATATTGATTTTAATTACAAAGATTTCAACAATCCCCTTCTTTAAGAGATCTTGCAGGGCTAATAAGTTTATTAGTGCCCTTTTTCAGGAGAGCAAATTTTTTTGATCGTTTCTTGATTGTTTTTTCTTCTTATTCATGTGTAGGACTGTGTTGGTGTAGTGGTTTTATTGATTAGTAAAAGAAAGTTTGTGCTTATTAATGCTTAGAGATGTGAAGATTTGTTTTCCCTTTATTTGCTTCCTCCAATCATTTTTCTGGTTATTATGATGCTGCCTTAATATGAACTTTTACTGGTGGTTGAAAATCTGTTGAGGTTGGATTTCGGTCTGATTAGTTGAAACTCCCTGATAAGTCGGGACCTCAAGTTAGTTTTAACTCCTTGGGCTTGAGATAGTTAACTGAATCTCCTGCATCAGGTGTGTGTCTTTATAAACAATAGATTTAATCCCCTTCTTGAAAATAAAATTTCCATTTAAAAGGAGTTAATTAAATTGTATGCTTGTACTTTGAATTTTATATCCAGGTGCATTATGCAATTGATTGCTTCAAATTAAATGTTCAACTATGAAAATTGATTTCTGCTTTAATTCTCAATTTATTTGATGAGCACCTAATAGAAAACAATATAGACAGTTAACTTTAGATGCTGGAGGAAAGTGTAAATAAGAAGGTAAAAGTAACTGATAAGCCGGCTTATTTCTAGAAATTTGAATATGCTGAATCACTTGTTCGTTTAAGGCTTTAAGCCTTCAACTCTGTCTTCAGTTTAGCATTCATTTTCAAAATTCAACAGTCTCTTCATGTATCTTACTCTTGCAATTTCAGAAGGATTCTTGTTTGAAGGTGAGATTGGTCATTGCTTGGCTTAATGCTTTGAATTTTATGCTGTTGATTGATGGGTAATGCTTTAAAAAATTGCAATTGCATGCCTATATGAGAGGTGGAAACCTTTCATGTTCCATAATGTAAACAAAGATTATTGTTGGAATAACATATGGAGAGAGGGTTGATTAAGTTATGAATTGGAGAGGGGTTATCCATTTGGTTGGGTCTCAGTCTGGATCTAGACTTAATAGCGCTATTGGGTAAGTGGGCAAGATAATGGTTGATGCAATGGGTATGGATGTCTGTATAATTTTAAAATGACTCATGAATTGGGATGATGGATCACTTATAACCAATGACTAAACCCCCAAAAATTATGTATTTTAGCGCTCCATATATCCCATTACCCTTTGGAACTTAATTTTTATAATTTTTATTGTTGTTATTTTTTTATTTATTTTAATTGTTTAAGCTATTGTGGTTACTATACTGATTCTCTATTTTGTTGTCGGGAAAATTCTTTTACTTCAGTTTGGTTGCCTAGGTCTTCTATTGCTGATTAAGTTATTTTTGAATTGGAAATGATATCACAGGAGAATGGCAGACAGAAAAGTCCAGTTTATGTTGATGCTGCTGCTTCTGAAAATTATAATGTAGAAGGTCATTATGCTGCACAGGAAATGGCTCCATTGACAGGAGGATCATCATCATCTCCTTCTGGAGGTCTAGCTTGTGCAATTGCTGCCCTTGCTGAGCGCCAGCAGATGGGTGGGGAATCTTTTGTTCATAATAATAATGGAAATGTTTCAGCAAGTAACATGCTTCCAGGAAGTAGTACATTTTATAGCAGGCTAGATCAAGATGCAGAGAATTATCCCCCTAGACAGAGTTGTAGCAATACATCATCAGATTGCAGAATGGTAATGTTGAGAGGTGAAGGTGATTGGGCTGCAGATCGAGGATCAGATGCTGCAGAAGCAGGGACTAGTTATGCAAGCTCTGGCACAACAGAAGAAGCTGGTGGAATTTCTGCTTCATTACCACCTCCACCACCACCATCAGATGAAATGGGGAGCAAGTTTCAGAATAACACTGGACCCATTGTTCCTGAGAGTTTTGAGGAGCAGATGATGTTGGCCATGGCTGTTTCTCTTGCAGACGCTCAAGCTGTGACCGGTGGAACTGGAAATGCATGGCAATAGTTTTTAGGGTCAGGCTACAGAATCCCAAACAACTTATACCAGTTATGGCTTTTTAGGTGGCCGACTATTGAGCTAGAATGGGTGCGCAAAGTGGTGTATGAAACTGGCTCAGAGGTCAAGGTAGTGATAATTCTCTTCTCTCTCCTTTGCACTTCCTATCCCATTCCCTTGTATACTTGTTAAAGGAAAATGTAGCGAGCAAAAGGTTGTTTGGTAATAGCATCCACGATGGCTCAAATTCTTTTACTTTATGTAAACTTCTTTAGCATGTTTGGAAGTCTTACGCTGGCAAAATCTTTATTTTTTGATGCTCTTTATAGTGATATTCTGCCTTGTTTTATCCTGTCAGGATGAGTTAGTATGAGTTGAATCGATATATATATTAACCAATGCTTTCAGTAAAACCAGTTGTTTAAAGTTACAGAACAAAATGTTCTGTGGAGATGTTTTATAGCGCTGTAGAAAGCGCAAGTTTAATGTTCTATTGATTTTATTCTTCTTAATGAGAGTTATATTATTATATTGCCTGAATTGGATCTTCCAGTTTGGTAAACTCCTGACTTATTGAGTTTTCCTTATTATTTTGCTTATTAAAGTTCCATTTATTTCCGTAAAACAGCTTGCATGGATTGCACAATTTTCTATTGTTTAAGGCATTTATGAAAATAAGTTAACAAAAAGTATTTTTTTGGTCAAAGAAAAAATAAATTATTTTTAAAGAAAATGACTTTCATTTTCAAGAGATAGAAAATATTTTTCGGCAATGATAAATTTATTATAACTTTATGGATATATATTGTTTAATTTATTAATTATCAGTAGCTACTATTACCCGATGCTATATTCACCGCCACTGACCGGCAATATTCACAATTTATCATTTCTTTTTATCATATTTAATAATAAAATTTTAAAATACGAAATTTTTATTATTGCAAATATTTTTACTGTGTTATAAAATAAAGATTTTAATTTTTTTTTACTAATTTTCAATATTGCAATTTGCGACCAGCAATGTATTTTCTTGAAAATTATTTTTCAAAGATAATTATTTTTCAAAAATAATCGGAGTCTAAATTTTCAAAATTAAGTCCTCAATGTTACCGGTTAGAAATAAAACAATAATTATGTGTTGCATGGATGGTTCAATTGAAAACAAGGGCTTAATTTTAATTAAAAAAAAATAAAAATTTCAGAGGTGGTTTTTTTGGACTGGATGCTGAAACTGAATCAATAGCTTATTAAACTGATTGATTAATAAGGAGTGATATTAAGAGCTTATTATTGAATGATTAAGATTGTTTAATAAATGAGATATTCGAATAATTTGAATGATTGTATTTTTCACATATTTGATCTTCTATATTTTTACATATTACGTATTTTTTACATAATAATAAAATTGACATTATATTATATAAGATAAAGTCAAATATATAAATTTAATTTATCATTCAATTATTAGCATAATATGATTGTAAATGATATATATGTATATCATTTATGTTATACATAAATGATGAATATAAATTTATTTTAATGATGAATGTTATAAATTAATTACAGCTTAATTACAATATATCATTTATAAATTAATTACAATATATCATTCATGTACAGCTTATCAAATAAGTTAAGAAATAAATTTTGCCTTAATTTGCCTTCATATTCATATAAGTTGCTTATCTGAAAAGGCAAAAGAAATAAATTTTGTTTTTTTATCTAAATCACATCAATAAGATAGGTTTCTAATAGCTATAATAAACTCAAATAAACACACCCTAAATGATAATAAAAATTATAGTTATTTTTAATAAATTAAGTGAAATATCAATTAAATTCAATGTGCATTTAAGGTGTGTGATTATCGCTCTAACTTTCAATCCAATAAAGATTTAATTTTAATAAAAATAAAAATTTAAGTATTCGATGTCTATAAGTAAAAATTTAAGAGGCTCTTAGGCAAATGTCATGTTCAAGGTTTCAATTTTTACCAAATATCATAAAATAACAAATGTTAAGAAACTGAGACATTTGGTCAAAATTAAAAAAATAATACTTAAAATAACCTCTTCCCATATGACGCCATTAGTAGTCCTAAATAAAAACTAACGCAGCTCAACCAACAGAAAAGGAAAGCCGAGGGCACTCAACTTCTCCACATCCACTACAAAAAAATGCATTTTTGCGACTGATGTAAATATTGCGATGAAATTGCGATGGTTGGGAGGTTAATATACACCGATGGATTTACGACTAAATGGCGATAGATTTGGCGACGGATTTGCAACCGACATAGCATCTGTCACTAATTTTAGCTTTAATAATTGCCGCCAGTTTTAGTTTGCGACCACTTTGTGACTACTTTTCGATTGATTCTATGATGAATTTGCAATCGTTTAAAAGTCTGTCGCAAAATTGCGCACTGCAGTTCAGTGCCAAATTTAAGTTTCATTCTGCGACCCATAGAATCGGTCGCAAACTGGTCACAATTTTCTTATTTGAAAATAACATCGCATGATTAAAAATTGCGACTGACATTTTAATTATTTGTCGGTCGCAAAAAAATAGGGCTTTATAAGCCTTGGTGGCGTTGCGTCACAGCCCTCCTTCTTTCCTCTTCTCCTCTTTGTCGTGTTGCAGCCCCTCCCAGCCGCCTCCTCCTCCACTCTCTTGCAGCGCCGGTCGCCGGAGATTCTTGCAGGAGCTTCGTTCATGTTCGTTGGTCAGGTACGCCTCTTCCTTTTATTTTATTTTTTTTTTTTTTTGGTTTTTTTCTGTGTTGATTTCATTTTGCAATGAGCGAATTCCTTTCATTTTTTGTTTTTAGTTTTTATTGTTGTTTTTCTTTTTGATGATTATTCTCATGGGATGATTATTGTTGTTTTTTTAGTTATGCATTTTGTTTAGGGTTTAGTGATTATTGTTTCTAAGGTTGTTTTAGCTTAGCGATATTAATTTTAGGAGATAAATTTTGTTATTATTGTTGTTTTTTCTTTTTGATGATTATTGTTATGGGATGATTATTGTTATTTTTTTAGTTATGCATTTAGTTTACGGTTTAGTGATTATTGTTTCTGTGGTTGTTTTAGCTTAGCGATTTTAATTTTAGGAGGTAAAATTTGTTGTGGGAGGCTGTTAGATTATGGTTTTAGGTTGAAGTTGATCTTTGAATATTTATGAATAAATTGTTTTAGGCTGTTAGATTATGGTTTTAGGCTGTTAGATTTATGATGTTGGTCTTTGAATATTTATGAATAAATTCTTTCTCAAAGTAATCATAATCATTGTTTACATATCGGTATTAATTAAAAATACATATACAATTATACATAAATTGAAAAAAAATAAATAAAAGAAATAGGCTGTTAGATTAAATGGTTTTAGGCTGTTAGATTTATGATTTGGTCCTTTGAATATTATGGAATAAATCTTTCTCAAAGGTAATCCATAATCATTGTTTACAATATTCCGGTATTAATTAAAAAATACTATACAATTAATACAATAAATTGAATTAGGCTCTGCGCTTAAAATTTGCCGCTTTTTTATTTTTTTCCTATTTATAATTTTTTTCTTGAATTTAATCACTTTTAAGACAATTTCAAACTCAAAGTAATCATTCTATGTCACAAGTCCAATCTATCTTTTGAATTGTAAGGCTGTTTCATGTCTTATACCTCATCATAAGCAGTTAAAATACAGTGCTTCTTATTTTTCTATGAAAAAAAATGTACAACAGAATTATTAATGGTCATATCAAATAAGAACTAATAATTTTTTTATGGGAAATTTTAAGGTTCGTGACTGTCTTTTTAAATTTTAGAGAAATATTCTATTAAATTTAAGCATGTCTCATCGTTTAAATCAATTTTCAATTTTAATATTAGACTCCGCAATATTATACAAAATAAACCGCTGCCCACTTAAAGCAGCTCTTATTATTTAAAATTTAAAATATACTAATTTTTTAAAATTAGTTTATGTTGATTTGTGTTTTCGTTTGATTGTAAATGAAATGAATGATGCGTTTGAGTTGCAGGTCTAGTAGTGGCCATTTTGACTTTGGTGGATGTTGGGATGCTATAGAAGTGTTTATATTATTGTGTTTTGACTTGAGAATTTGAGAATGTTATGCCAAAATGCTGCCGAAATTTTTTTAAAAACTGATTAAGTTATATGTTGATACAGTATTGCTTAGTACATTATACTCGGGTTGGAGCGGCGTAGAGTAGGAATACTTATGTTCACGCTACTCAATCGAAACGGGACTATAGTTGCGATGCTATCCCATATTAAGCGAACTGCGCAAAGTCGGAATGGATGGGGGATTGAATGGCGTGTCGAAGTACGCGACATAGAAGTCCGGCCTTTTCGTAGCCCACTATAACCGTAACGAGTTAGACTACTAGGCGCACGTAACGCGGGGATTAAATATAGAGATGTTACTACTGGAGTGAACCGTTGAGTGTTTTATATTTTACGTGTTTTGACCCTTGAGGAATTTGGAAGAATGTTTATGGCCCAAAATGCTGCCCCCTTGAAAAATTTTTTTAAAAAACTGATTAAGTTACACTCACTATATATAATAATAGTCATTATATATTATATATATAATAATATATATATATATATAATATATATATATAAACCTTTAATTAAGAAATAAGATGAACTTAGTGAGTTTATGAAATACCTCCGGAATTTTATTTTCAAAACAGAAGATATGATCGAGTCTTTCGCCAATTTTTAATTTAACGAACCGACAGCCTGGAAATTTGCTATTAAATATTTTTAGTGCGAATTACTGAATGAGAAAAATCGAAGATCGAAAGACCGATTGAAAAAGCCGAAACGGTTGAAAATCGAAGAATTTGGGCGAATCGAACCGAATCGAACCGGTTCGCCCAAACCAATCTAGAAACATCCTTTTCCCCCTCCTCCCTCTCTTCTCTTTTTCTTTTTCTTCTTCTTCTTCTTCTTCTTTCTTTTCTTTCTTTCTTTCCTTTTCCTTCCTTCTTCCCTGCGTCTGTCTTTGTGTGACTGGCGAGAGACAGAAGGTTCGCTGTGCGCCACCCAGCCCTCGCCGCCACTCCACGCCTCCAGTCGCACCGCCTCCGTCGCCTCGCTGCTCCTCCGCGCGCCACTGCCAGCAGCTCCACTCGCTGCCAGATCGTGCAGCGTCAGCTCCTTCTGCCCTCGATCGAGCAAGCGCCGCGCCTCACCCAGCTCATCACGCCATCGCCACTGCCACTGCTGCCGCTCCAGCACGTCGACCGGTCGCCCCCGCCGGCGTCACAGCAGCTCTGCTGCTGCTCCAGTGCACCTCCGGCCACCAGCCTCCATTTCCGGTCAAATAATTCCAGCAGCTTTTGTTTTTTTTTTTATAGGTATAATTAAATAGATAATCAATTTTAATAATTTTAGATAAATAATTTAATAATATTAGATAATTAAATATATTTTAGTTAATTAATTTAATATTAAT